TATTGGTAGCACTTTACTAAAAGGGGTGTTCATAAGATTGTCATGAAACATTTATAATCATGACGTGACATATGTCATGGATGTGAATGAAATTTTATTATGACAAGTGTTCGTTTGCTGTAATATATATATCCACAAGGATCAGTTTTAGGTCCAGTATTGTTTATAATTTCTATTAATGATATGTGTAAGATATCAGAGTTGTTTAAGTTTATTTTATTTGCAGATGACACGAGTATCTTTTGTTCTGGGGATAATTTACCAAAACTTATGAAGTTGTTTAAAACAGAAGTTAATAAATTGAAATTATGGCTTAATGTAAACAAATTGTCATTAAACATAAGTAAAACAAAAGATATGTTATTTGGGAAATTAAAAGTAGTCATAATATAGATTTACATATTCATAATGAAATTATAGAAAGAGTGTATGCAGTTAAGTTTCTTTGGTTGTTGTATTGGATCATACAATTAGTTGGAAACCGCAAATAAATAATGTGATATCAAAATTTGTCAAAACTGTAGCAATAATGTATAAAACAAGATTTATCCTGGACAATAAATCAATGTATAAATTATATAACACACTTATGTTGCTATATATGAGTTATTGTGTTGAAATTTGGGGGAATACATATAAATCTAATTTATGATCCGAAAGTATAATGCAGAAAAAAGTAATCAGACTGATAGAAGATGTGGGGTATTTGGAGCAAAATAATCCTTTATTTTTTTAAACTAAAGATACTCAAGTGCTCATCACCCACGCCTCCTTTTTAAAATCGTACATTTTAAGACGACTGAACTCGTACAAATTCGTATGAATTAGCCACTAAACTGACAAAACCTAAAATACTTACGTTTCCCCGTGAGATCAGGCAGGTCAAGTTGTTTTTTTCAGTCCTTTGTCGGTTTCTCTGTTGTTTTCAGAGTAATATTTTTCATTCAATATTAAATTACTAATAAATCTTTTTTTTTTTTTTTTACTTAAGCTACAAGCAGCAGTTACAGAAGAAGTAAAGCTGATTTAAAGTGCTGCTGTTGTGACGTTCTGAAAAGTTGTGATTTTTGACAAACATCTTTTAAAAAGATGCTTGACATTGTTCACTTTTTCATTCTCTGTAAGCATATCAAGCATCTACATTTGAAATAATGAACCTAAATGTACTAAAAATGAGGCATGTATAATAACCAGCTGATGGAAATGCAAATTGATGTGGCCTCATAGTACATTATTTTCAAATAATTCAACAAACTAATGTTAATTATTCAGCTTATAACTATACAGCTAACACACTTAAAGACATTATTGAGTTGTTTTATAAATATATTTGCTAGGTTTTTGCTAATGAATGTAGACTAGGTTCCTTGGTTTTGTTTTATTTAGTTTTATTTAGTTTTTATTTTGTTTCTTGTTTGTGGGTTTTGAAGTCATTAAAAAACTGCTGTCAAGATCTGCCTGGAACCACTTTGGCTGTGCAGTTCCTCAAAATATTTACATTCCATGAAACATTCATCAACCAATCAGAGTTAACCCAGTAGACACACAACATCGTATGACATTAATATTAGGTTAGATTTAGCGCACCAGCATCTAAGGACAATGTTATTTTAACGTCCAATAACGGCTTGAAATGACGTTGATAATTTGTTAATTTTAGGTTGTGTTGGAAAGTGACCAAAATCCACCATCGAGCCAACATACTAATACTTGTACTTATATACTTACTACAACTACTTATGATCATTGATTACTTGGACTATTTAAACCTCTCTGTTTTACACACAAGTTGCAGAGTCTTGTAATACTGAACTCTGAACATTACAACACATTTTCCTTGTCTTGCCTTGCTGGTCTTGACCTTCACCCGGTTTCTTTGTTTGTTTTCGTTATACAGTATGCTGCCTGCCTTCGACCATCCGGCTGTATATTGACTACAACTCTGGATTGCCCGTATACATCTGTTTGTTTCTGTATTAACCATTGCTTGTCTGACCATTCTGTTTCATAAATCTGTGTTTGGATCCGCACTTCCCTTTGTCAGTGTCCTGTTTACAGACATAATGATGGCAAATACTGACATTTATTCATCAGGTATAGCAACCAAAATCTAACGTTTGATAGACGTCATATTGGTCACGTACACACAGCATTAAGCAGTAACATCATTAGACGTTGATATTTTGTTGTTTGTGGGGTGTGTTGAAAAGTAACAAAAATACAATGATTGTCCAACATTGGACGTTAATGTTGGACTGATGTTGGGTTCTGATGTCAACCCAATTTTCATTTCCAAACAAAATGCAACATTTCACAATGTTGGGGTACAACGTCAATCTGACATCAAATTGATGTCCTCTGGCTGCTGGGAAGCATTCACCAGCCTACATAAAATCATACGCTCGATTTCTTCTATGCAGCTTCTTCGTGACAGTATAGATATCTTTACCAGTTCACCAAATCTCATAACTCACTTTGGCCTTTTGAGTGACAATAAAAAAAGGACAACTGAGCAGAAAAGGGAAGCCACGTTTAGAACGGTAGATTTAGATCGCTGTGCAGGTGGAGAAAGGGAGAGTTTCTCCATTGGAGAAAGAGAGAGTTTATGGCGTGTGATTAGAGTCTTCATTGATCTGTGCAGTAGAAACATCATTCCTGTCCACTGAACACAGCAAGAGCGGCAAGAACAAGCCAATAAGAGAGATAGAGAGAGAGAGAGACTGAGAGGACGGCATGGATGAGTAGATGGTGAGAGAGACAGAGGAAATTTATTATGTTGACCCTGAGAAAAGAGAAAACAACAAGACAGGAGAAGTGTAGAGCAGTGCACTACATCACCTCTCAAAACACAAGACAGTCGGGGAATAGCAAACAGAACATTTGACTTGCTTATTAAAAACTGGATTAAAGCAGATTGCAGAGTTGTTTTTTTGTATCTAGTAAAGATTATAAAAGTGGTATAGAGCTGCAAAATATAATTTCAGCATTGTGCAAATTTGCAATATTCACATCACAGAATCTGAAATTATAGTTGACCAGACAGTACAGGTCAAAACACTGTGAGTCATTGAAAGCTTAATTTTCATTAATTTTCATGGACATTTTCATGTAAATATGTTTTTAAGCCCTTTGACTCTGTGAGCATTTTAAGTAAACTTAAAGAGGACCTACTCTGCCCCCTTTTAAAAGATGTAAGATAAGTCTCTGATGTCGCTAGAGTGTGTATGTGAAGTTTCAGCTCAAAATACACACAAATATTGCTTTATAACTTTAAAACTGCCCCTTTTAGACTTTAATTGATCCAATTGATCAAACTGTGCTGTTTTGTCAACTGTTGCTTTTAATTTAAATGATATTGTGCTCTATTTTAAAAGAGGGCGAAGCTACATAGAAATGCCTATGAGTCAGTATAGGGGCAGATTAAAAAAAACAACACTAATGTCCTGTGCTGAGGGAGCGACTGCCACAAGTGGGCTGGACTTGCCTCCTCTGATGACATGTGCAATGGAAGAATGTCAGTTGAAGTGATGGACTGTTTTTATGAATTGTGATTAAAAAAAAAATTACTAAAATTGATACATTTTTTACAATTAGAAGTTTTGCATGTAAACCCTTATAAAAGTGATTCTTGCATAATAGGTCCCCTTTAAATCATTTGGGCAAAATAAATGATAATGCTTGAAGCTTAAAGATTTGTATATAGAAAGAATTGAAGAGAATAATATACTAGTAAGGTACTATTAAGGTGCACCTAATAAAGTGGCCGGTGAGTGTATATCATGCTTGTAAATGATCTTTTCTAAATATCGCAATATCAGATTTTTCACATTCGTACAGCCCTAATGTGGGCCATACTACATTGATTCATGTTGGTTTTAGTGAATATTTGCATACAAAGGTATTGGGTCTGCTAACAGCCTGAAGTGGAATAACAGCTTTTACTTGATTTGATGAATAAAGCCATCCCACAGGATTGATCTTTACTGTAGAAGCTGTTAGTCAATTTCAGTAAGCATGTGACAAGGGTTTAATGAGCATGCAGTGATGAGTGTTTGCCTGACACTCTCTAAAATAAAAGAGATTTGAGGCACAGCTTCACTGCCAAACCCTGAATGATGATGTCCTTTTCATTCATTTCCATTTCCACCATTTATTTCTTGCATTCGGAAAATGCATAGATATCTATAAATATACATTTTTGTGCTGTCATTTCTTATTTTCATTTAGTTTTATTATTTAATGCTATGATTAAATATGATTGGGGTTGAATATGATTTAATCGCAATAAAAAATGTATCTAAATAAACTAAACAGAAATGTGAAAAGTAATGCAAATAAAGACAACATAATCACACAAACCTAAAAAATAATAGAACTATTATTCATATGGCAAAGATATGAAAATAAAACTTCATTTGATCCTTTTAAAAACATTTAATAATAATAATAAGTAATATAATTGCAAAGAACAGTGTCCAAAAGAAATAGAATAAAAAATATTGATATAACTACTAAAAACATTGATTGTAAAACTACAATTTTCATTTTCTAATTTATATTAATATTTATGAAAGTAATTTAATGCTACTTAGAAAATAAATGTGTATGTGGTATAATAAAATATTAAATTTTATACATATTTGTATTGTATAATCATAATGAAATATAATCACATTCATCATTATTAAAACAATAGGATTTCAATAAATAATACACTTTATTTTACTGCTTAAGGGTTTACAATGCTTCACAGTAATGTTTTCTCCAGTGGTTTACTTATAAAATAACATGAATTTTATTATGACAGACTGTTATATTTCTGTTTCATTCGTCTAATGTGTTCTCCAGAGAGCTTTTGTGTGTTTTGCAGCTGGGCCTCTGGGTTATACAAAAGTACGCAGCAGATGCCACATCCAACAATGCGAATCTTTTTTGGAAAATATGACTTCATGTTTTGGATATGTATGGATATGTATTGATAAATCATGTGTCTCTTCCAGGCGGTTATGGGGCAGATACAGAAGAGAGACTGGTGGAGCATCTTCTCAATCCAGCTCACTACAACAAACTGATCCGACCAGCTACTAATGGATCAGAAGTGGTGACAGTGCAGCTGATGGTCTCGCTGGCGCAGCTCATCAGTGTGGTCAGTGGACACCTACACTTTGATTCTCATATTTAAATGCAGAATGAATAATAAAGATCCTCCTTTATGCTCTTTCACCTATTAATTTGCCTGTAGTGTGGAAAATACAATAGCCAGATGTGAATGACAAAGGTCTGCAAGGGTAGAAAGTGGAATTATTGTCTCCCAAATAAAAAAAAATTCTGAACAGTCTTAAATGAGTTGTCCCTCATCCCTCATTAGCCCCTTTCACACATACAGAACCTTTCCGGAAAATTCCATATCCAAAAACATATCCAATGCTTTTAGCATTCGTTGTTTAAACTGACAGACCCTCATTCTCTGAAACTGGATTTATGGTTAAACGAATAAGAAGCCAACTTTCACCCTATTGTTTTGATACAGTATGTCTTGTTCTGACATGTGAAGTAACAAACATGAAATGCTTACTTGATTTAAAAACAAAAGTTAAATACAATTTCAAATAATTTTTAAAGAGTTTTAACCTTTTAGCCACCACCACAACATGGACTAAATTTTTACTCAAAACAATTATGAACAATGCCCATCGCTATGTAAATAATGAAGTATGCCTAATAAGTAATGTTATCATAACTTTAACTAGGACTGGGCAGTGACTTGTAGAAATTTTGATTAGAAAATTGGTGTTTTTTCTTTGTGTTTTTACCTTTAGTGGATGTTAAGCTATTGCCTTCAAAACAATTAGAAACCCTTGAAATTGCACAGTAGAGTCACTTCATTTAAAGTTTCTCTAAACTGTTTCTGGTCTAGCTTTAGAAAATGAAATGTATGGCTGTTATATTGATCTTATTCTTCACGTTAGAGTGGATGCAGCCATTGGAACATTAATGGCTTGAGACTTCGAAACTCATTCACTTCCATTGATTTATAGCCATAAAACCAGCTTGTTTTGTTGCTAACTGGTGTTTTATGATTACATTTTTAATGTATAGTCATAAACACAATTGTTCCTAGGTCAAGCAATTTGACTGTTTCTGCCATTTGCGAGTCAATTCTCTTATAGGAAACTGAAAGAAAAGAGCTTACTCCAGCCCTAGAGAACAACATCAATAACCCTTACCAACTGTAACTCACTTAGCATTGACACTTTGTTAAAGCATTGTATTTTCAGTGACTTTTAAAGTAAACTCGTTTATTCAACGTCTATTCTATTTTCAAATATGGTCATCTTAGCTCCATTTTAAGCCTAAGTAGGCTTAGTGATCTGTGGAATAATGCAGTTAGGCTCTGAGGCTTCAGCATTAGCCTGATTTTTTCGAGTGAATGTTGTCGGTGTGCTGTAGGAAGCAAGTGTGGACAACAGGAAATGGCCATTTCAGTTCCCACAGGTGCAGCAATTACCAATGCTTACTGACCACTCATCATTCTATGCGAACCGCTCAGCTGTCAGCCAATTACATGCCTCCTTCATACCTGTAATGCATTGTAAATCAACAACAGCTCACTTACCTGGGCTGATAGCTGGAGGAAAGCAGTGTCATTCCTGTGTGATTCATTTTTGGAGGGCCGGCAGGGGCTTCTTAACGTCCTTGATACATAAAAGAACCATTCCGCCCAAGAATGTGTAGCCTTTGATCAATAAAAAGAGATTTGAAAGCATCAAATGGTGAACTTTGAAGAATACTTTTCCTTTTATCATTTTTTGGTAAAAAATGAACAGTTTTATTTAATATGTACATCATGAGCCATCATTTAAAGCCTGTTTTTTTCTTATGCTGAATCACTTCCATGCACCTGTGCTGTTAGTAGTGTTTAATAGGACTATATACTGTATATATATATATATATATATATATATAAACTATTTGAATATGTGACTTATTCTAATATGAGATACAAACACACACTTATGGAGTGTTAAAAAACTTGTTTCATTGCATCCGGTGCATCTTCTAATTTTGACTAAGAAATATATATCTCAGCTATTGATGGTTATGGGTACACTTTACAATACATCTAAAATTTTCTTAGTTTAGGCATTGTGATTTAGCTGGGACTCAATCCATTGACTGCCATAATCTACTGCTTGAGAACAAACTTTTACAATTTTTAAAAAGGGTACAATATCTTTATAATATTCATATTTTAAAGCTATGAATTAAAAATAACAAGTTGACAAGTTACAAATAAGTTGTTTAGTTATATCATTAAGTTGTATTTGTTATTAAGATTTTTTCCTTCCCTCTCTGTCTTTTTATTTTTTCCTACACAGCACGAGAGAGAACAGATCATGACCACCAATGTCTGGCTTACACAGGTCAGTCACATTAATCTAACCCATTTTACTTTCCTGACATAAAATGTTTAACACACAACAAAAAGTGCTTTACTTGATTGTTCTGTTGGTTTCTATCCAAGGTAATAACTGTAATTTAAATTAATGCTTTTAAAGAATAATATTAATTAAACACAACAATAAAAACAATAAAATGTCAGCAAATTAGGTTAAAAATAATAAAAGTTCCCATGTTAATTTAAAAAAAGCATGCATCTTAATATATATGCATTAGGCTTGAAATGCATCATCATCAGTTTATACGCTACCTACGGTGGCCGAGAGAGCTTAACATGCTGCAGTTTAAGAAAACACATGCAATTACAAAAAATGCCAGCAAATTAAGAAAAGATCTTCATCCGTTTGACAGCACATACGCTGCAAGTCCTCACAATGCAAACACGTTTAAAAAAAACCGCTGCATATGTGCTCACAACACTTTCAAATATACAAAAATGCGAAATGTTTCAAGAGGACCTAAAAACATGGCAGACCGGGCTACTTAGCTTATGGGTATTTATTTACTTGATATTAAGCTGCACCATGTTTGTGTTTCGTAACATCTAAATTTTACGAGGTGAGTTGTTAGCCCAACACTCAACCCCCAACCTGCAAAGAGGACCAGGACATACAGACATACACTATGAACAATTTAGCATACCCAGTTTAGCTATAGCGGATGTCTTTGGAGTTGTGGGGGAAACTGGAGTACCTGGAGGAAACCTTCATGTAAAAATACGAAATCTGAAAGACAAGGGAATCAGGGTGTTAAAAGAAACAAACAACAAACTCTACTTTTAAAGATTATCTGCTGTTTCACTGGGCAAAATAGTCACGGCACGTTTTTGGGTCCCCTTGAAACATTTCCATTGAGTTCCAATGTTTTTCAAAGTGTTGTGAGAATTTAGCGTGTTTTCGTAAAATTGTTTGAGTTGTGAGAAAATTCAGCGTATTTTCGTAAATTGTTTGAGTTGTGAGAAAATTCAGCGTGTTTTCGTAAATTGTTTGCGTTGTGAGAAAATTAAGTGTGTTTTCATAAATTGTTTGCATTGTGAGAAAATGCAGTGCGTTTTCGTAAATTTTTTGCGTTGTGAGAAAATGCCATGTGTTTTCGTAAATTGATTGCGCTGTGAGAAAAATGCAGCATGTTTTCGTAAACTGTTTGTGCTGTGAGAAAATGCAGCACGTTTTCATAAATTGTTTTCGTTGTGTGAAAATGCAGCACATTTTTTAAAGTGTATGCATTGAAGATCTGTTAATTTAGATCTGTTAAGTTTTCTAAATTTCCGCACGTTAAGTTCTCTCGGCCACCCTAGCTACCACACAAAATATTTTAGACTGTATATACAGTAATAAATTATTGGTGTAGACGTATTATTGGTGTAGACAATTTATTGTTATAAACACTTTATTTTACTTTATTTATGTGTCATTTCCATTTCGCTCTAATTAATTTTATATTACTTTTTAATTACTTTTTTATACTAAAATTTATAGTTTAAAATAAAACCTAGGTCAAATGTTTTTCCTTTGTGTATTCAAACATCTCATCCGAATTGGTTTGTACAGATACAGTTCTCTGTTACACATCTCTCTCTTTTTCTCGCTCGTTCTCCATCTTTCTGTCACTCCCTCTCTGAATCATCTGCTCATGGTCACTATGACCATAGATGTCATTTGGCAGGAGGTATTGCTGCTGTCAGTACAGGTTACCCATACAACTTCACAACTGTATGTGCCTTTCCTAGCCAGTGTATGTGTATAAGATCTGTGCGTCAGAGTAAAGAACATAATATAATCACATTAATGGTCACTATCTTTAAACTGACCGTAAGTGTGTTAAATTACCACCACTTGACATTTATCACTCTTTTTGTGTGTATCAAGACAACTACCATTAATTAGGCTGTGCTTTATGACCGTTCTCAGTCGCAGTCTGTTTAATCTGTCAGCATTTATCGCCTCAAGTGATTAGTTCTCACTTTCTAATCTAGTTTATTCAGACATTCCTATTAGTAATGAAATGTGACAGTTTATTAATACATACGCTAAATATGCTGCTAATTGACTGAAAGCAGTGCCGTGTGTGACTGATGAACATGATCTTAACAGCATGCTTGGTTACACCATCTGCACAAGTCAATGAGAAATTATAGTTTCATAACATGAAATGTGTGAAAGAAGGCTGTGGATTTGGAGTATATTTCACTTTCATCGTAACCCAGCAACAATTTTTTTGTTTTTAAAAATATGTCTAATAGTTGTCTAAACGTAGTCATCTTGGCTAAAACAATACTGAATATGGGCCGTCAGTGAAAATCTAATAGACATCTAAGAATAGGCTAAAACTAGATCGAATTAACAGAAATGAATGACTGCAAATATAAAGTCTGTTTAATCTGTCTATTTGACGACTAGTTGAGTTTAGTCTTGTTTTAGCAAAGCTGTTTACTTTTAGATGTCTATTAGATGTCTATTAAACACAAAATTGTTTGCTGGGTAGTGTCAAGGATTGACAAAAGGTGTTTTGTCATTAGCATGTGCTGCGAGGTGTTATAACTTCATTACCTGGTAGTAAAACGCATCTTTCTCCACACACAACCCTTCAGAAGTCATCATTTGTTGACATTAAGATGAATGAAAATGCTAATTAAGTCTACCGTGGTTGTTTATTTTCATCTTCAGGAATGGCAGGACTACAGACTAACATGGAGCCCAGAAGAGTTTGATGGCATGAAGAAGGTCCGTCTTCCCTCCAAGCATATTTGGCTGCCTGATGTTGTTCTTTATAACAAGTAAGCCTCGAAAGATCATGTTGCTTAGCTTTCTCTACAACTTATCGCTGCTTTATTACATCTGATCCTTTCTTCCTTTCCTCTTTCATCGAAGCGTAGATAACATCTGTGCTTATCAGTCTCCGTCTCATTAGCGGTGTTCCCGTGTCACATTACATGACCTCACTGTAAATAAAGCATGTTCCTGCTCTCTTGCTCTCATGCCGCGTAGTGGAAGATGATTTATATTTAAGCTAATTAAAACAATACTTCCTCCTGTGTTTGTCTTTATGTATCATTGATAAACTGTGTGCAGATAAACACCGCAAAGAAACAGGCCTCAAAGGTTTGAAAATTGTCTCAAAAAAAAAATTCTGTACAGCAGTAATGTTATAGGAATTATCTAAAAAAAGTAATATGCCTTTACCAAATGCCTTAACCTACTGTAAAAGTTACATAAGGCACTTACATTTGAAGTAGACATGGTCAGGCAGTAAAGACACACCATGCTATACATGCAAACACAATTGAATTACATAAAATCTGGTTAAAGTTAAATTACCCAAATTTTTAAGGTCACTGGTTTAATTCACAGCAAATGTGGCATCAGTTAAAAGTGCAAGCTTAACACCATGTCTACTTCAGACACAACCATGCTGCTTAAAGGTGCAGTACGTGATCTGCCACAATGCTAACTGGCTAGCATAAATCTCTGAAACACTGTCCCTACCCTGCCATCCAAAGCCACGCCTCCTGAAACACGAGTACGTGCACCTCAGGAATTATACTTACTACCAAGCCATACTTATATGCTATTTCAGACTAAATATTCAGAGTAGTGGTAAATAATATAGCGAGCACGTCACAGGTTGTCATGTTCAAAAATTAACCATTGTGAATATAAAACCAACTTCACCTCAGTAAAGCAGGCTAGGCGGAATAGAAAAAGGTTCCTTAGGAAACAGAAAATAGTCACATCAGTCTTTTACCGGGAGATTTTAGTGGCTGAATTACACTTCTGTGCATATAACCCATTTTTAACAACAAAATCTACATCAGCTTGGCGTTAAGCTAACATAGTTTTAAAACAAAACATTATCTAACAGAAATACTTCAGAAATACTTCAGCCATGGTGTCATCCTTCGTCATCCTTCGTCCAGCATGCAAAAGTCACTCCAATATTGATTCAGGATTTTAAAAAGTATTGATTTTAAAAAGTATTGTACACGATCTGCATGAGCGGCTGCACTATAGTTCGAATCTGCATTTGCTGCAGTTTGAGCTACTTATCAGAATTATGCGAAATGTCAGCCTGACACTATTTGATTGGCTGAACATTTTTTAGTTATATGGCTTACTCAGAATATAAAAATAAACATAAACACATTTAGATCATTTACTTTAATCATTACGATTGGAATATGAAGAGACTTTTAAACAGCACAACAACAAATGTTACTGAAGAAAATCACTTACTGCACCTTTAAAGAAGTGTTTCTCAATTCTGGTTCTCGCACCCCACTCCACTTCACATTTTGTATTTTTTTCTTTTCACTGTAGACAATTAGTCCACAGGATGTTCTGCCATGATTTCAGCTTTAGGAAGCATATGTTTTATTCAAATGTCATTTTAGTGTGTGATATGTGGATTTATATTGTAATTATTTACAGAGGTATACTACTATATATATATATATATATATATATATATATATATATATATATATATATATATATATATATATATATATATATATATATATATATATATATATATATATATTAGAAGATAAATAAAGGTTTCTTGTGTTCAGGTAGAGAGCAATGAAGGAGCATTGAGTATAGAGCAATGCTCACTATGTAGGGACCTGTCAATTAGAACACAGTTCATGCATGGAGCGTGAATTAGGTTTGAAAAAGAAGAGAGACAAAACATGTAGATTTGTGGGACACGAGAACTGGGAATGAGAACCACTTGCTTACATCACATCAGCTGCCTATACTAGAAAAATTGCCTATAGCAACTAACTTGTCCTTTATGTTAGTATATCATAAATCAAATGAAATCTGTATATTGTCTGAGATTTGTTGCATGTGTTGCATACTGTAAATTAAGTGTAGACAGATTAAGTCTTTCTGGATTATATTGTCTTCACTTGTGTCCAAAGTAGATGGTGTAAGCCTACAACATCACTACATGAAATACAGTTAACCAAGTCAAAGGGAATATGGAGTTATTTTTCTTCCCATTTGCAATGCTTTTCTCATTTACAATGCAATTAGAGTGAGTAATATTCCTTTACTCACAGTTAAATGTGATGTTTACAACCACAGTAGCACAGGGCTAAACACACTTTGCAAAGCCTTACTATGTGTACAGGCACACCAAAATGATACAGCATTAGTAATGCTTAACCAAATCCACCTCAAAAGTATTATGACTTTAAAAAACTGGTAATGACTAATCCCAGTCCTGGAGAGTCACTGTCCTGCAGAGTTTCTTTCCAGTTCAAGACTTATCAAACACAGCTGAAAAAGCTAGATAAGGTATAAAGGTTTCATGGGTACTTTTTAAAGGGTGGAAAAAAGCTTTCCGGTTTGTGACCACTTATATAGTCTCGCGTAGGCAGACCTAAGACTGAAGAGGTCTGAAGATTTGGGATCTTTGGCTGCTTTGAATGGTCAAGGACTGCCCATTATGTTATATGACTGACAGTTTACCAACCAATCACATTTCATTTTGTGCCACATCATGTTTGTAGGTGTGGAAGTGTCCTCAGAATAACACCCCATAATGCAACCACATTCAATAATCCAGCGTTTAGGTCAAATTAATAAATGCTCATTCTTACAAAGTTATTCTCACAATAACAGATGGGTGTGCAAGGAGTAAATCACTAATTTATGACCTTCTCAGAAAGTTCTATGCAGTGTTGGGGGTAATGCATTACAAGTAATGCGAGTTACATAATAATATTACTTTTCTAAGTAATGAGTAAAGTAACGCATTACTAAATAACAAGTGTTATTACTAAGTATTATTATTACTAAGTATACTAAATATCATTATTAAGTAATAAAATTTGAGTTACTTTTTAAAAAATGTAATACAAGTTACTTTTTAATTAGATCATAAAAAAATAAATCGCTAATTTAAAATGATCGTAGTCATGTTAAATCCTACAATCAATGAGAGAATGCAAGAACAAACAGAAACCAAAATGGCTTTGGCTTACTGTATTCTCATTTTCTCATTATTTTGAATGGATTAAAGAAATGCAAAAGGACAGAAATGTCTCAAAAGACAGTGATTTTACTTCACTAATAAGACAAAAGGTACAAAAGTAGCACATTGCTTAAAACTTTGATAAATCTGTATGGCACATAGCTTGAGGGTCAGGGAGTGCTCAGAACATATTATCCTACATTATTATTATTATTATTATTTTTTTTTTTTTTTTTTTTTTATTATTATTTAAGTAAATGAAGCTCATTTGGTGCATTGTTTATTGCAGAGCTCCTTTATTTAGAAAAAAAAAGGAAAATATCCTGAGAGTTATGAAAGAGATCAAGCCTCAGCCAGGTCAGAAAAAGTAATGCAAAAGTAACATAATGCATTACTTATTATAAAAAGTAAGTAACGCAACTATTTACTTTTTTGGAGAATAACTCAATATTCTAATGTGTTACTTTCAAAGTTACTTTCCCCAACACTGGTTACCAACCCAGGCTCATTCTGAAAATGCACCTCTATACATTTTTGGAGATCACCTAATACATTTTAGGAGGTAAGTTTTTTTTTTTTTTTTTGCAGTATTTGTTTTCTTGAATCCACTAGAGGCCGCTGTGTATGCTTTTTGAGATCTTTGAGAAATTTCTCTCGAGAGTGCCATTCGCACCTGCTGTTCTCTCGTAAATCCACCAGAGGCCACTGTCTACAGACTAATTGACAGATAAAATGACTGACTGACTGATCGACTGACCCACCGTCCCCCTTTTCTAAACCCAACCAATAGTATTTTAAAAAGCACAGATTGACCCGCCCATTCACTTCTCTAAACATAAACCAACAAATTTAAAAGCAATTTTCAAAAAATCAAATCTGATTTTTACCACTTTCTCACCTGTTATTTACTTATTTTACTTTTTGGCACTTTGTTTGCACTTTATTTGCTTACTGGAACTATTCTTTACTGGACTCAAACCCCTTTGTCATGGCCACTTTGTCATACCACCCCGTAGAATTCATTTAAAAAATAAAATCCAGCCATACGTATTTCTGGCTACATAATTCGCAGCCTCCAGAAATGTACAGTATATAGGGCTACATTTTCAGAATGAGCCTATGTTGCTGGTTACATATTCATAAATAAGCACTGTCCTCAACATGAACAATCACAGCATTTATATTTGCTTAGACTTGTTTCCAGGAAGGCAAATTAAGATTGCTACATGGTGCACACTCAACTCTCACAAGCACATTACATTGAAACCAATCAGAGGATGAATGAGGGTCTGTAAAGTGTTTTCAGAATAGTTTGGCATGTGCATCAGACATATAACCAAAGGTCCATGTGTGGTGTTCAGCATGACGCCTGAGGCTGAGAATACCACTTAAATTATGCCAGAAATGCTGTTGATAAACCTTCTTTTCAATTATTAAGCACCTTATAACTTCTGTCTCCTCTCCCATCAGTGCTGACGGCATGTATGAGGTGTCATTCTACTCCAATGCTGTCGTCTCCTATGATGGAAGTGTCTTCTGGTTGCCACCAGCGATCTATAAGAGTGCCTGTAAAATTGAGGTGAAGCACTTCCCATTCGACCAGCAAAACTGCACTCTAAGCTTTCGTTCCTGGACCTATGACCGTACAGAAGTGGACTTGGTTCTGCGTGCAGACGTGGCAAGCATGGATGATTTCACACCCAGTGGTGAGTGGGATATCATTGCTCTTCCTGGCCGTCGAAATGAGAACCCTTCAGACCCAACTTACGTAGACATCACCTACGACTTCATCATCCGCCGAAAACCCCTGTTCTACACAATCAACCTCATCATTCCTTGCGTCCTCATCACCTCGCTGGCCATCCTGGTGTTCTACCTGCCGTCAGACTGTGGCGAAAAGATGACGCTGTGCATCTCGGTGCTCCTTGCCCTCACTGTGTTCCTGCTGCTGATCTCTAAAATTGTGCCCCCCACTTCTCTCGATGTCCCTCTGGTTGGGAAGTATCTGATGTTCACCATGGTGCTGGTCACATTCTCCATTGTGACGAGTGTGTGTGTGCTGAACGTGCACCACCGGTCGCCCACCACACACACTATGCCTCCGTGGGTGAAGTTGGTGTTCCTCAACAAGTTGCCTGCTCTTCTCTTCATGCGGCAGCCGCGTAACAGCAGTGAACGACAGCGTCTGCGCCAACGTCGGCGTGCCAATGAACAGCAGGAAGGTGGGCGAGGGGGTCTGGCTGCCGGGCTCATGGCAGGATTGGGTCTGAGCGGCTCTTCATCAGGGAGCAAAGAGAACAATGAGGCTTGCACATGCTATGTGAACCGGGCCTCTGTGAAACAGTTTGGGGCAGAGTTGGGTGGAGGGGGTGGTGGAGGTGGGTCAACAGATGGACTAAACGGAATAAGAGAAGGGGGCAGAGAGACCAGGGAAGGAGGTGCAAATCCATTGCAGGGATCTGCTCTACCTCGGGGGAAACAGCAGCCCCCTACTGTCCTCACTCAGGCTCTGCTGGCCCAGGCCTGTCCAGGGTTTGAGGAGGCTGTAGATGGAGTCCGCTTCATCGCAAACCACATGAAGAGTGAGGATGACGATCGTAGCGTGAGTCATTCTCTTTCATAATCACTTTTCTGTATGCACAGATACATGTTTTCATTTTGGCAACAATAGCATGCTATCATTCATATCAGTCATAGTTCAAGTAATGCTTCCTGTTCATTGTTGTACCTTTTAATGATAAAGTGACAACAGACTTGGTGACTCAGACTAGAAATATGAGAGGAAAACATTTCTTCTTGTTCAGCCCAAATAACTTTGATATGAAACTGAAATATTATTAGGCCTGTTGTCAAATGAATAAATAATCTGCTGCTGTGATTCCTGTAAAGCATTATAGCATTATATTTAAAGGCATACTGTAGTTCAACCAAAAATTTATTCTCAATATTTACGCATCAACATTGCTCTAACACATTAAACTTTTTTATGTTCTAAGCCTAAATGAAGATATTTAAAAAAAAAAAAGCTAAAATGTTTCAGTCCTTCCATAGCAAGTCCAAACACGCAACACTTTTACCAATGACGTTTGCTCTTTAATGTTTATGTGTAAATAAAATTCAATCAAATCACATGCCAAGTTAAATCATATAGAGCAGTGGTCTCTTATGAAAGCTTGAATTAATCAGTATAACTTTAACCATTAACTGTTTAAATGACTTTCAATGGAGGTACAAGAATTTCTGCTTCCAAATAATTTGTCTTTGTGCCTACATTTATTTTGCCATGATGAATCAGAAGCTTTTAAGAAGTGTTTTAATTTGATTTATCATAAAACTGCAATACATTAAATCTGTAATCTAATTACTTTACACTGTGAAACATTTTAGGTCATTACAGCAACAACAAAAACAATCTTTATTTCTTTTTTCGCTTTTTCTTGTACACTCAACTTTTTAAAACATTATTTTACTTAAAATGACTTGTCAGTAATGCAAAAAACATTTAGTTAACATAGGATTATATATTTTTTTATAATTTGTAATTTTTTGTTTATAATTTCTACTGAAAACAAAACCTTTTTAAGTTGTGCCAACTGAACATTTCTTGTCTGCAGATCTGGAATACCTGAAGTTTAGTGAACAAAAAAGCAAATCGAAATTAGTATTATGTTTCTTTTTTTTTTTTTTTTTTTGTACTGACTTAATTTTTTTTACGCCATGAACACCTGACCACCATGTATCAACACACTAACCACTACACTATTGGCCCCAACGTGTACTCAAATTTTGAAAACATCAGTAGCACCTAAAATGAGAAAAGTTGAGTGAACAAAAAACTCTTGTGGAAATTGGAATTAAAAAATAATACATTATCAGATTAAACAAACTTAGTTCAATTAAAAAAGAAAAAGTAAAACAGAGACAAATATTAACAAAACATTTATTAGACAGAATTACAAATAGAACAGGAGATAAAACAACAATAATGGTAAACAAGACAATGATCAAAACATGGCAGGGAAACAGGGAAAAATGCTTTTTAATGCTTCACATTTTTGTTCACTCAACTTCAGACATTTTAGGCCAGCGCAGCCAATGAGAAATAGGGCTGTGCGATTTGGGGAAAATATCTCATTTTGTTTTGACAGATATTAATTTACGATTTAATTCAAGTTCCAAGCTGATTTTAGTTTAATTTAAGCTTCAGCTTAATAATCTGTAAGGCGTGGCAACAATTCTGCAATAGCTCTTAAAATATACCTGTTTTTGTTCAGTGTCTGTGACTTTAAAACCAAAATATTCCCATATTACAAATGCTGTTTTTCTTTGATATTAATTTGTCTATTAATGCTTCTGAAGCAGCAGACCCATTATCCCACTTGTCAGCACTTTGCTGTTTGTTTTCTTTTTGTTATTGTGGGTGTAGTTCAGTTGTGCAATTCTGATTGGGCAGAACGAAAGTGTGGTCACTCAATTGGCTAGTTATAAAAGCCAGGTCAGATCACATGATTTTGGCACAATTTCCTTGATTTCCTTGACGTATGACTTGTGGGGAGTCGTAAATGACAATGTATTGATGACAATTGGCATGCCCGCAGCTCAGCCCGCGTTCTGGGTATAGGTGCCTGCTATGCGTGATCCCCTGCAGGCGATCCCATAAGCTCAGTCAACCCAGGTTTAGTCCCCCCTGTGTTAAGGTGGGCTCGTGTCTTCCCTCCAAGCTAACCATCCTCTTATGTACCCCTCCCCCGTTCCGGTGCTGGGCCACAGGCTGTCACCAGGTCTCCCCTCCTTGAGTAGCAGGTGAACTCCGCAGCGTCCTCCCTATCAGGACTGAACGCTTTCCCAACGTGCTGTCGTATTAAAACCCTTTTTACTGGGTTATTTTCGACTCCCCGAAAAATATAGCTAAACCGGAACAGGTAAGTAAGGTAAGTAAGGGCCAGGGGACACGTTGGAAGACTGCATCTCGCGGTGTTGTAGGTGCGCTCGCTTTACTGCGTGCCGCACCCTTCGCCAGGGACGCAGTATGGTGCTTTCGTTGTGGCGTTTTCCATAGATTTCATTGGAGTTCCCCATCCGAAGGGGAATGCTTTGGTTACTTAAGTAACCCTCTCTGTACTCTCTGTAAATGCTCTGTACCTTCGCCACAACGATCGTCCCTTAGCTGTTGAGTGTGAAAGTCTCCGAGCATTGCACTAGCCGTGTCTTATATACTTGACTGATTGTCATTGAAGTCAGCTGTGCATGCTGACGCTGCCAATTCATTTGGCATTTCATTGGCCCGATTTTATACTCTTTCAGATTATTGGTTTCTGACGAAAACCCCATAGTGGAAGGTTTTCCACATAGCATTTCCATTCCCCCCCTCGGGGAACGAGGGTTACTTTAGTAACCGTAGCGTTCTCTTATGATTATGCAGCAACTACACCTTTATCGGATGAACTGTAAAAATGAATAGATAACTAGTTATACACCAGTGATGCTGTTACAGAAGCAGAGCTAAACTGGAGTTTAAAATTACACTGCAGTATTTTTATGTCAGTGTTAAGATTATTTTCATGCAGCTACACCAACAAGAAGTTTGAAATTAATCGTACACTGTCAGAGCATTGAATTATACAGCCCTCACTCAAAACTTGACATTCATTATGAGCTGATTGCGAGCTAACACACATTCCCACAGACACACTTAGATCAATATGCAGCTCCACACTTGTGCTTTAATAATCTCTGATGTGGAGGCTTTGACAGGCAAGTCGTATAGCATTAAAAAAAGAGATCTGGTGTTTAGCCAAAGCACAGCTACACATCAGCACTACACTCACTCTTGGCATTTAAATGGCTTACAGTCCCATTCTGTCAAACACCGTCTGAGTCTAAGCATTACTCACGAATGAGAGAAGCAGTTGTGCTCGATACTAGAAAGAGTTTTTTTTTTTTTTTTTTTTTAGATGAAAACAAACATCTATCTGTTAGCAATGTGATGGCAAACATGTTTCTTAAATCAGTTAGGCGTGTGTTAAATCATGCTACAAACATGCTAACAACATAACAAAACATGCTAGCAGTGTTCTTAGTCATGCTACAAACATATTAAAAAGGTCATTTTCACTAAAAAAATGCCTTTAAGACGTCAGAATTAAAAAAAAAAAAAGTTTGAGATTTTTTATTTAACCACATTGCTTTATTAATGAGACCTTCAGCTTTAAGAAATGAATGTTGGTCAAGCTTCTGCACTATTTATAAATAAACTGCAAGTAGAAAAACAGTAAACAAACCTCAAATTGTGTCAACCATGTCATGGAAAAATTCAAAGTAGTCTAAGTATATTGTCATTGCAGTGTGACTATAAAATATATATTTTCAGAAAGCTTATGTGTCCCTTTACCAAGACAACTTTTTCGATTCTGGAAAAAGTGAAGTCTATTTAATAATGTAATAATGGACAAAACATTTATTTCCCAATAAAATATACTATCTTTACACATTCTTTTCAAAATAAAACACAACATCTAAAATATTTTGTCAAACTTTCCAACAATAATAACTGGCTCTTATTGGTTAATTAAGAAATCACACAAATATTTTTGCTAAGTTTATAAATAATTTGTTTATTTTTATAAAAGTTTAACATGACAGTGGAAAACAAGATGACAGGGTGGACATTGGCATGTATTTTATTTTTATTTGAAACAGCCAGTGAGATCCATTATATCAGGGGTGGCCAACCCTGTTCCTGGAGAGCCACCTTCCTGCAGTTTTCAGTTGCTACCCATATCAAACACACCAAACCAATTAATTAGGATCTGAACACCAGGTGATAATTACAGAGAGGTGTGTTTGATATGAGTTGCAACTGAAATCTGCAGGAAGGTGGCTCTCTAGGAACAGGGTTGGCCACCCCAGCATTATATGGACTTTAAAAGGATATCTTTTATATACAGTAGACTGAGACAGATATTGGCAAAAGGTTTGTATTGTCCACTCATGTATTGCATTTACTGGTGTAGTATGTGTGCATTGTTACATAAAAATTAACAAATTAACAATAAGATAATAAATAAATAAATAAATAAATAAATAAATGATGTGTCAATAACAATGCATACAGTTGAAGTCAGAATTATTAGCCCCCCTGAATTATTAGCCCCCTGTTTATTTTTTTCCCCAATTTATATTTAACGGAGAGAAGATTTTTTTCAACACATTTCTAAACATAATAGTTTTAATAACTAATTTCTATTAACTTATTTATTATATATTTGTCATGATGACAGTAAATAATATTTGACTAGATATTTTTCAAGACACTTCTATACAGCTTAAAGTGACATTTAAAGGCTTAACTAGGTTAATTGGGTTAACTAGGCGGGTTAGGGTAATTAGGCAAGTTATTGTATAATGATGGTTTGTTCAGTAGACTATCGAAAAAAAAATATAGCCTAAAGGGGCTAAAAATATTGATTTTAAAATGGCTTTTACAAAATTAATAACTGATTTTATTCTAGCCAAAATAAAACAAATAAGACTTTCTTCAGAAGAAAAAATATTATCAGACATACTGTGAAAATTTCCTTGCTCTGTTAAACATAATTAGGG